AGCGCCATAAGATTACATTTATTCTTAAGATCTAACAAATATGTGGAAAGCATTTCCTTCCCTATGAATGGTAAATGAATATCGATATCGTATGATAGGGAAAAAAATATAGTGATAAAGACAGTTTCAAACACTGAAGTGATTTCCTTGATATATTTATTTCATTATAATAGGTATAACTCAATATTTTAACTAATTGAAAATGCTAAATAATCGACCAAACACCTTTTCATTAATTGGTGAAATAATTAATGATTAGTCGATTAATCGTTAGATTAATCGATTATAATAATTTGTTGCAGCTCCTTTAAATGGTGTGGCAGACAACTAGTTGTCTAGTGTGGTTCGGTTCATTCGGGGCAGGTTTGTCGAGAATGTGGAGTCCTGAAATGTGCAGGTGTTATGGTGTTTTCACACCGAACGCAAATGTAGTTATTTGCAAGAGTAGATGCAAATAACTACAAAGACATGAATAGACGAATCATTCGACCCAGGCGTAAATGAATTTTAGTCGAATTGGGTGACGCATTTGCTATGAACGTCTTCCACCCAAGTTGAAAAATTTGAACTTGAGCGGAAGATTCAAGCGTCTAACTAGACGCAATAGACGCATATTTGACGCTCTATTCGCATTCGGTGTGAACAAACCATTACTTCGGAAAAGTAAGCGGTTCAGTCTTAAAAAATAACAAAAAGTGCTGCACTTCCAGTCATGAGCATCTGCTCTAGCTAACTCTTGTTTTGTGAAAAATGACAGGGGATTAGTGAGACACATTGCAGATCATTTATGTATTTTCATAATCGATGACTTTGATTACGAAAATACGTCGATTTGTGTGAAATGATGTGTCAGAACGTCAGTAACAACAGCATTCTGTGTGTATGTGTATTACTACCATTTGTAGTTTGCTTTTGGGATCTGGTTTTACTTTTTTTGCACACGTCCCTGTTTCACACATTCAACGAGGACATGGTAGCAAAAAACTTGCGAAAAGCGAAGAGCTTGTCACAGCGCTTGAAAATAACCTACATCTGAGGCTATCGCTAAATATTAGCATACACTTATACTTTAGATGTAAACTTCTTGATTCTGTAATTCTGTAATCCTATTACAGTATTTTCACAGATAAAGAAATTGCTAAAGTCCCCCTGTGGTGAATCATTTTTCACTTAAAACTAATCTTTGATCACCAAAATGACATATTTAAATGTATATTTCTTGAAAAAAAGTCTTCATGCCTTATAGCTTGAATATAACTCTACACCCTTGCCTCATTTAGTATATGCGGTTCTATGAATATGAAAATGAGCCCCGCCTCCACTCACTCACACCAGCTCTGAGATCAACTCGTTGACGTGACTGGTTACTTACAAGGTAGTTTGTGACGTCAGAAACACCAGCGATTTCAAACCGCGTGTTTGAGACTGTCTTCGGTTCAGTTTTAAGCAGGAAATACTCAGCAATGGTGTTGACTTAAAGCATATTAAAGTCACCACACAGACACATACAAATTGGTTATCACCACGGGAACTTTAAAAAATATGAATAAAAGGAAGTAAACACTGCAATCAACAGGGCACTCTTTAACATAACATAACACTAATTCTACATACAGCACAAAAATTAACATGAATATGACAGTGGCCGAATGCATAATATGCATTGAAATCAAGGGTTTAAACTAAGTGTGGATTGTGAGCCTCCAGAGAAGCTGAACTCTCGTCTGCATTCAATTCACACAGACCAACCGTCCGTCACACACAGTATGCATTCATGCAGGATGCACACACTTCAGTTCAGAACATCTCACAACAGGATTCAACTAAATCTGCAAGGTTTGTGAATGATATTCAAAGACTTGTTTATTACATGTTATATTACAAGTATATAAAGTATTATAGTGTTTTCCTTATTCTAACTGATAATCTAAAATCAAAGGCTATAGGCCTAAGCCTATATTTTAATTTCTTTGTTTTAACAGTTTTATCCAATAATGTAATACTGTTAGAACTGTTAGACACAGTTCAAGACAGAGAAGGGATGCGCTGTTTGCTCAGGCGTTCTCAGAGCCGTCAAAATAAAAGTCCTACTGGCTAATGAACAGAATCCCTATCGGCCTGATGCTGAGATTTGAAAAATGTCAAATATCGGCCAACATATCGGCCTTGACAATATATCGATTGACTAATATAAAAAAAATTATTCAAATAACTTTAGAGTCAAACTGCCTTGCATCGTGTAGGCAATTGAGCAATGTAACTTCAAATCACCCCTTAACTAACATCCAACCAGTGCAGAACTAATTACTTGTATTGCCAGTTTGAACACCCACCGCTATGGAAATGATTATAACGTGGCATGTCTACTCCGCAGGTAAATACAAAATATTCCCTTTTAGCCTAATAGTGAAATTGTTATGTTGTGTAACAGTAAATGTAACCAGTGTGCATTATAAGCTCTTAAAGTGACAGTAGCCTAATAAACCTGCTGCTATCTGTCATGTTCATCAAAGAGCAAAAGACAGAAAAAATCACTTTTTAGACTGAAAAACTTTCGTAACTTTAATTGCAAGCATAAATAGGTACAATGTTTACAATAAAGACTATCAAGTGTTATTTTCCATTTAATTACTTTAGTTACTGTAGTATTTCTTAACTGAATACTACTGTTAGACCCACTTGAAAACTGAAAAGCCACATTTATTTCATATTCTATTGTATTTATTTGTGCTATCATTTGCAATTTCTTTATTTCTCATTTTATTACTTGATGTTTACGTTTCGTTTTTAAATTTAGTTTCAAATAAAGCCTCCCTGTGCTGTGTGTAAACTATTAAACAAAATTACCCAAATGATCAAAATATTATGAGATAATAAAAATATCCATATGGCAGTATAAATGACAGCTTTCCCTATGGTATTGAAATGAAATATTGATATTTTTCAAGGTATTAAAAGTCAGAAATTCCAGTATCGTGACAAAACTCCCTTACAGTGCTTTGTAGCTGAATTCTTAAGTTATTAAAATGTTTCAGATTAAGTGGAAGACGTGGTTTTCATGTTAAATAGCACTACAACACGTCCACAACATGGGGTATAGGATAAAAACATTCAAAGACCTATATTCTAAAACAATAATAACCACCAAAACAAACAAATTTCTAGAATGAACTGATGAAATGCATACCTGAATGCAATGCAAGTTGCTATATGCATAAATATAGCCTATGGTGTGGTAACAGCTCTTTCGTACAACAGCTGTTATTTTATCGGAGATTTTACTACGGATGGGCGATTTTTTTTTAGATTTTTTCGATTCATTCAAATTTAATGTTTTGCCTTTTATTATTTTTACATTGAAAAATTGCAGTTTTGAATAAATGGTAGCAAACGCTACAATTAGAAATGTTGACAACGTGGCAATGATGACTAAAAAAGCAAAGTTATTAGACACGAGTTGAACTTCTAACTTGAGCGCCGCTTTTTTAAAATGGCGTTTCATGGTTGAGGCGCTTAAAGACAGCCAAACACGCCCGCCAAACATGCAAACAGTGGAAAAGCAAAGAACTATTACTGCATGTTTAATATTTCATGTTTGTATGATGGTGACAGGCTGAAAGGTACTGTTATTTTGTTTTTACAAATTTGCTTTTAATAATATTAGCCTATTACTGATGTTATACTTTTAGTCATTATGAATTTGAAAGGCCTTGACTTTTTGAATTGACCTATAAAACTCAATGTTTACTTTTTGGCTAAGAAATATTTAGTATTTTTCAAATTTTATATAATTTCTGACTATAGGATAGGTTTTAGATAGGTTTGTATAATATTTACCTTTATATTTTATGAATATTTTCTGCAAAGATATTTAACAATGTCATTTGTTTACATTTGCACTGCTACTTCAGGTGTGGCGCACTTATTGGAACATAACTTTATTTAACCAGAAGGTTTATAAAGAGAATGATTGTTACTTGAATCATATTGTAGTTACATTTTAGGTTGACAAAACTAAACTATCGGTTTTAAAAACAAACACACTTGATTGTAATTGATCAACCGGAAAGAGTTATGAATGGATGCAGTCATGTATTATACACACACACACACACACACACACACACACACATATATAATTTATAGCTGTCTAATTCAATACATTTCTATACTGTGAAATCCTGTGACCTGAATTTACTACAGTGGTTGTCAAAGCCTGTGAGACTCAAGAGTACACAGAAAGTGTACATTATGAAGTGTAATTGATGTCACTTAATAATTGAAGCTCTCAGTGAGAATGATCCTAATGCAAGGCAAGATTTAACACTATAACTCACACAATCTGTGTGTCTGAGTATGCAACTCACAGGAGTCAGGAGAGCTCAAATTCCTTAAGAAATAGATGCTCAGATGTAAAAAAAATCATTTTACAAATCGCACATTTCATGTTTAAGTTTATTGAAAAATCTGAGCATGGAATATGGGTGGTGAGGCCTAGTGGTTAAAGACCCTGCTGGTTACCAAAAGGTTCTTGGTTCAACCCTGAAACCTTAGGCATGAACTAATTCTTTCCCTCCTTTAACAAGAAACTGAAGCTGGTGGTTTCGGGGCCAGTGGTCCAGCAATGACTGGGTTTGTACTCCACATTGAAACGGCTAACTTTGAAATAGCAAGTATTAATACAGTAATTATCGTAATTTATGAGAAAAAGGTGAAACAAGGTAGTTACAATCAGTAAAATTCTAGAAACAAATATTCAAATTTAAATCCAACATCGCTTACCAAGCCTGAATTGTACACAAGTGATTACAGGCCGGCGCGTGCATTGCAATGTCATAAAGCATGATTCCGCTGTTTTGCATATTTAATGCCTATTATTGTACTGTACTGTATGCATGCATTTCAAGATTTATATTAGATTATGCCTACCCTAGCAACAATTACGCAAACAAACTGCTTATAAAAGCAATAGCAGAGTTTCAATAAATCTGATAACTCACCAGCAGACAGTCTGTGTTGATCTCCGATTTGGGATCCTTCAGCATAGCATCGATCTTCTCGAAGCGAGCTGTCAAACTTTCTCCAGCAGACATATTCATAACTGATCCGATTCAGACGTATGAAAGAGATGTGAGTGTACTGGCTAAGGTTAGCAAATTAACTCGCCCAACTTCCTCTGCCCTCACAAAGCAAGCACTAGTTTGATCAAAGCAGCGTTTTGTGTCTTACAGTCTTATTATCGCTCTCGTTGAAACGTGTACAACACGGAGAGATGACGAAAAGCCACATTTTCAAAAACAAAACAACAACAAGACAAGGTGTCGGATTAGTCCATGACAACTTGGCAAACACAAAAGCAGCAACAGATTATAGTGCGCTAAGCTAATTTAGCTTCAGGAGATATGTGGGAAACGAGCTCTTTTAAAACAGACGAACAGATCATATCCGCGCAAAAAACAAGAAGGGATAAAATAAATGTTGCAGAGTTAGCATGCGGCCACATGAAATGAAGTTTCTCCAGGCCTCTGTCCATAAATGCCTGCCAGGCCAAACGAGTCTGACAGCTGCAAAGTGAGAAGTGGCGAAAAAAAAAACTTCGCCTTACAAATTTCGATCAGTTAAAACAAGATCCTGGTTAAAACGATCCTTTACGGTTCTTCTGCAATAAACATCTCCAAGTCGGCACGCCCGGCTTCTACTTTTCCAAAAAAGTATGTAATCCGCTGTGCTGTAACCGTAAGGATAGTTCAAGCTTTAATCGATGTTATTATTCAAAAAAAAACAAAAAAAAAACTGGGTGCCCGATTTTCTCCCACTGCCTGACCAACATGTCCGCCTTCCTGTTGAAACACCCCGGAGAGTCAACTTCGAAACCTCTCCGACTGCGCATGCGCAGAACCTCGCTCGCGCGCGCTCTCTCTCTCTCTCTCTCACACGCAAGCACACTCACACGAGAGTACAATGGCGGGTAGTGTGGTAGCCTAGTAGTACTATCCGCTTGCAGAACGGCAGAGCCATCAGTATCAGGACAGCAACTCCAGGCCAGTCTCTACAAAGGCTACAGTTTAAAATGGAAATTTTTCAATTTGTATGCATAAGTTATAATGAAATATTAATGTATGTTTAAACTATGACTAAGATTAAATTAAAATTATCTCCACTCACTCCCACCCAAGGGGGTAATCCATTGACCGGAAGTTGAAGACAGCCGGGTGCCGCCATCTTGTAGCAGAACTACACTTGAGTTAGCATTTCCATTGACTCCCATTCATTTTGGTGTTACTTTGATAGCGAATAACTTTACATCTGAGGCATTTGAAGACTCCATTTGTCCATTATTTATTTCTAAAGAAACACGACAATGTATAAAATGCTCCATTAGCTTATGTTATGGCCCTGTATAAGCAGTTTTTTTTTTATAAAAGTAGGCTAACGATTGCGTCATAACCATCCGACTCTTTGTCGCACAGTAGAGAGATAACCGTATGGACAGGAGGAGAAGCTCGCGGGCAATGGGGGAAACGTGGAGGCAAAATGACAAAATAATTAATCAGAATACCTAGCAAAAGTGTCTCCTGCTCCTAGCTCATGGACAGCTCCTTACACTCTCCGCCTCTGCAAGTTTCGGAAGGGAAATAGGGAATGATTCAGATTTCTCATGCCACAGATACTAGAAGACAGATGGGTTGCTCACATCTAAGTCGTCAAGCTCTGTTTGAGTCGGTTTGAGTCTGCGCGTCAGGAACGGAAGTCCTAAAAAAATCGCTACAAATGGGTCTTAACTGAATTCCAATGAGATGGCTCTGTCCACTTCTAATATTGTCTATGCTCCCACCAGCTCCTGATGGGTTTGTGACATCAGAAAAAACAGTGATTTCAAATCACTGCGTTTTTGAGAAGATGCTGCATTTCAATTCACCTACTTATATTACGCCCTAAAAGTGTGCACTCTTTTTGTGAAGAAAAAGATACTTTTGTATAGCAGAAGAGTAGACAAGTGTTGGGACATCATACAATTGCGTCTTTAACGGCTGTTGCTTAGTTACGCGCGTCTTGTCATGTAAAATGACCTGTCAATCATCTTGTCAAAAAAATCCTCCAACAATTAATTTTATTTCCTACTATCGGAGAGAAATGCAGAGGCACGTTGATCTGCAGTCTTTCATGCAGAAACTCTCCTCATATATTTTAAAAAA